CTCTGGGAAATGGTATTTCGCCAACGGAATAGGCTTGCACAGAGATGATGATGAAGTGAACGAGGAGGTCATGAAAGATGCTCACGATGATGGAGCCGCACCCGAACCACCAGTGCCACACTGCCACCACAGCCACCACACACTACCGATTCCGCGATGGCGTACTTGATGCACTCCATGGCTGGCATGCATACGCGGATGGACGCGCAAGAGGAGCGGCAACAACGGTATGAGGAGCGGTTCGACAAATTCACCGACTACTACTACTCCCAACATGGGTACCCCCCTCAAGACCCAGAAAATTAATTACACCATGGTTGTTATTGTTTTCCTAGGACAATACTTCTCGCAAACACATTTTATTGTGGATGTTGAAACTTTTTGTTTATCATGGATGATACATTGAGACAATGTATGATAAGTGTGTGTGTGTGGGGGGGGGGGGGGCATCTCATGGGTAGTTAAAAAAATTTTTGGGTGCAAAAATAATTTTTTTAGGAAGGTAGAATTGTCATATTTCTCTTTTTAACGGGCATTTGGTTGAGAAAGTTTTTTTTATTATTATTTACAAAAACTATCATTTTTTTAGACTACTTTTTTTTACTCTTGAAAATTATTCCCAAAATAAGTTCTTGTGACTAGAAAGCACTTTCCTCCTTCATTTCCAAAATGGTCAAATACATCTCAAACACCCAAACACCATTTTGGAACACAAAACCCACTCTCACACCTCACCAAATAAATTAGCATCATCAAATGACTTTCAACAAATACTAGTTGAAGACCTTTATCCTTTAAAAAAAATTAACTCATGGTCTCAACTAGGAAGTTCAATTGATTCCTACAACTGAAGGTCATAAACACCAAAAAACCATTCCACTCACCCAAAAAAACTATAGTCACAAATCACTCCTTCATTCTCAAGAGTATAAATAGTTTTATAAATCTAAATGATACTTTTGTGATTAATTGAAAAAAATGGTTTTGAACCGAGAATGATAAAAGAGTTTACATGTCATTTTTACCTATCTTAAAATCAATTTATTTTTGTATATATATCTTTGTGCAAACTAACCCAAGGCATCCAAAGGTGACAACATTGCTCGAGTACTAGCAACGCTCAAGTGTGGGGGAATTTGATAAGCACAATAATTGTCTATATTTTATATAGGTAATTATGATTATCTGTACAAACATTCAAAGATAAAGTTTGTAAAAATCCCAATTTGAGCAAAACCGCACTTAGGCGTCAAAAAGATGAAGAAACAAGAGTCAACGGGAAAAAGGGACCAATAACCGGCACCTCGGGGTCAACAACGGGCGTCAAATGGAGCGAAAAGCCAAGAAAATACAAAAAGGAGCTTACCCGGCGCCGGTCCACCCTATACCCAGCGCCGGCCCGTCGGTCTTTCACACAAGCCGCAATCCAGTAGCTTACCCGGCGCCGGGTAGGCCTGATGGCCGGCGCCGGGTAGGTCTGATTCTGCAAATACAAAAGAACGTGCAGCCATATATTGATGGGAAAAACTCACCTTCCTCATGATCTGATCAAACATATCTTCCATGCCTGATTGTTGGGCTCGAATAGACTAAAAGATTCCAATCTTTAGCCTATATAAGGCCCCCAATTCATCAAACAAGATCATCATTCCATCTTTGGAGCAAAAAATTCAGTTTTTATATTTTACTTTTGCATTTTCTTGAAGAGTTGGAGAAGAAGCTATTTCTCTCATCTACAATTGGTTCTAGGTAATATTTCTTGTATGTTATTGTATTTCGTTGTTCTTAGTTACACTTTTGTAATTAGTATGAGCTCAAGGAGCTAAATTCTTAGCTAAGGCTAGGGATGAACTTCTATGCCCACTAGGTGTTTGATAAAAGTTCTAAACCAATAAATTGTGATTTATCCTTTACATTTTGATTGTTTATGACTATGATGTACAACATAGAAGTATGTTAAACTTAATTTATGCTTACAATTAACGTTGAGGTCTAAACTATGAACATTAAAGGATAAACATATATTACCGAGAATAGAAATATATCCGGTATTATATGATACGGGTGTGATGTCTTGATATTCAACGGGGTTTTCGATAGATGAATGTAAGTCGTAACGGGACTTACACGTAACGAAAACCACGCTCTCGCTGCCTTAACCGAAGTTGAGAAAATATTAGCGACATCGTATTCATAATTATTGGTAAAGAACTAATATTCAACCCTATTAAAGCATTTAAGTGATCCCCGAAGCCTTAGTTGTTGTTACCAATCAATTTAATCAAATTAATTTAAATTATATCTCTGAAAATTAAAAAGAAGAACCAAGTTGTTATTTTCACAACAACACACAACTCAACATCCCTGCATTTTACTCATTTATTTATTTAAAGTCATCTACTCTCGGACTAAATTAAACAACGTTTCCCTGTGGATTTGACCCGGTATTTTACCGGAATTTATTACTATATCGGCACTTGTACACTTGCAAGTTCAGCCCGGTCAACAGGCTCCGCCACACCGTCGTGTCTGACTCTCGGTCGGGCTCGTCCATCCTTGACCTGGGATGGCGACCGCCGCTTTTATGCAGCACGCACGGGCTCCACAACACCGTCGTGCATGACTCTCGGTCGGGCTCGTCCATCCTTGATCTGGGATGGCGACCGCCACTTTTATGCGGCACGAACGACTGGCTCTTCAGCGCCATCGTGTCTAGTGCGGGATTGCACCTCACTTATGACTTGTGCAGGCCTTGCGTCCAGGACTGTTCAAAGACACTGATTCAGGGAAGGCAGGGAAGGACGTGAGCAGGAGTATCCTTTCTCGAGTAGATTCACAGGCTCACTACTCAAGAAAGTGGGGGACTTGTGTTGGGGTATACTACCCTGTCCTACTACTGTTCAGAGACCCAAGTCATCACCCCAGTACAGAACTCAGTCGACAAGGCCCACTTAGGCCTACTCGGCCCACTTCGGCCCAACTGACTCATATGGCCCGCTAGGATAGAAGGCTCCTCCTATAAAAAGGAATAGGAAGCCTTGCTTCCATTTGAGGGGATCCGCTTCTCTGGCTCTTAGCTCCTGAAGCTAGCTTTCTTCTCTCAGACTTCATCTTCCTCCTTAGAAAATAACATATCCATAGTCCATTAATGGAGCTTCAACTGATGTATGATGTAAATGGTGAGGAGAGGATATTAATGAAAAGAGCGGGCTTGGACGTTAGCCTAAAAAATCCCGTGGTTTTCTCCCTTTTCGGGTTTCCACGTAAAAATAGCCAGTTCATACACGTTTATATATTTATTTCACTTTTATACCGAATTCATCGTCCATAATATCCAAAGTTTATGTTGGGCTTTCGGATCTACGGGACAAAACCTCAACAATTATCATTATCATTATCATTATCATTATCATTATCATTATCATTATCATTGTCATTGTCAGTATCATTATCATTGTCATTATCATTGTCATTATCATTGTCATTATCACTATCATTGTCACTATCATTATCATTATCATTATCATTATCATTCTTATATATATTATGATGAATTAGGGCTGAGCTTAGGTCCAAGACCAGACCGCACCGAACCGGAATCGAAATTCTCAAAAAAGTGGACCGAAGACCGGACCTATATAATTCAGGTCCAGGACCGGACCGGACCGAATTTTTCCGGTTTTTTCGGTCCGGAGCGGAATTGGACCGGGTTTTTTATTTTATTATTGTTACAATGTTTCATCATTTAATAAAATAGTTTTGATTGTCCAAAAACTTACTTATTAGCTGGTTGTTGCTATTACAAAGTATTACTTTATAATGTTCTATATGTGATCATTATAACAAATTGTTATATATGTATGATTTGCATTTTTTGTCTCTTTAAATTAGTACAATGTACATTATAATGCATCAAATAAGTGTAAATATAAACACATGAACTATGCTTAGTGAAAACATGAAAAACATGTGATTAAATTTTGACTCTAAAATTTTACGCATGATCATATCAGTACCAGAAATAATGTTCCTTACTCGGTTAATTTAGTGAATGATTTGACTCAATAACTTTACGCATTTAACAAAGAAGAATTCAACTAATCACGATACGTATTATGATTAAAACAAGTAACAATAAGTAAACACAATCACTACAACAAAAAATGGTTTTTGTAACACTTTTATTGCAACACTTATTTTATGGTTGCATATATAACATAGAGCATTGACATTTTGCAACATTTATTTAAAAGTGTTGTATAATCATCTCATGTTTAGGCTTATGCAACACTTATTTTAAAGTATTGCATACAGTTAGGTCTTTAATGCACAATTCAAATTCCTAATGTTTTTATGCTACAAAATTTTACTACTGTAATTATGTAAATAATATTACATACGTGACTTTAGTTAATGTCTAAGTTTTATATCGCTTAACTAATGTACCTTTTTTTAAAAGTAAATTAATTAATGTAGTGTGTATTTGTCTGTGTGCATACAATTTTAATCCATAAGATAACTGCACCCTTTATTATATACATATAAAACACAGTTATCTTCCAAAAATCGTTTGACTGCCTTCCCGATTGAATTTTTTCCTGAAATTTGGTATGTATGTACAAGACTTGATGAACATGCTCAAAAAATTTCATCGAAAAATTCCACCGGGAAAGCCCTCAAAACGTGGAGGCCGCACGGCGGTTCCGATAAGGTATACCTTACCGGAAGTCTTTTCTATATGTATACATATACTAATATATTAATGCATATAATAATTTAATTTCGGTCTAACCGATATGGATCAGATTATTTTGGATTTTTGATCAGACCAGATAATCGGTAAAGCTTTGGACCGAAGAGTGGACTAGTATCTATCTGGCCTGAGTCTGGGTCTGGGTCCGGTCTGGACCGACCGGTCTGATTCGGTCCGATTTTCCAGTCCGGACCGGACAATGCTCAGCCCTTGATTATGATTGTGATGGTGTCCTTTTTAGCCTCCTTAACGCAATCAAACTTAGCTGCGAGTTTGGCTTGGGGTTTCTGTTCCAGTCTAGGGTTCCAGGTTCGCATCTCGATTATTTGTGAATACGCGTTCTCATTCAACATCTCAATATCAGTGTATGCTCGACTGATCTGTCTATGTGCGTGCAATGTTGAATGATGGATCCACAATTGCTTCATACATCGTCTTTCTCAATATCATGGTTTTCCTTTTCAAAGACTATTTTCAAATGGTTGGAATACGATCTCGTTACGTTTCTCTAATTATTTGTTAAAAAAATGTTCTTTGAGTTTCTAATATCCTGCCTGAGATTCTAAGACATGCAGGATTTTTGTGTTTCAGCATTACTTGTACTGGATAATTTTGCCTGTGAATGTTTGTATAGGTGCTTATTCGGGATGTCAAGAGTATATATTGGAAACTTGGACCCAAGGGTCACTGAAACAGCGCTTGAAGATGAGTTCCGTACCTATGGAGTGATCAGAAAGTAAATATAACTACCGTGCCATTTTTCTTATTCAAATAGCCTCACTTGATTTTTTAAATCTCATGTTTTAAATTTTCCTGTTATATAAAGTATAGAGGCCGTGGTCAATTTTTTGGTGTTCCATGCAATGTTCACATAAATTTTCACCTCTGTGATTTCTAGACCAACCCTGGCAATGCTTTTGTCTTTTGGGGTGAGGCGTGCACATTGAGGCGTAGGCACAGTAGTATTTTCAGGTTGAAGTTAAATAATTTGAGGCCCCTTAAGAAAACACCCCATTTCCTTTTTAAAACTCCCATATTCTTCTGCAACAATCACTTCCCCTTTGAGGCTTTTTGTGTGACTTCATTTCCTCTTCTTACTTCTTCTCTGGATGAATGCAAGGGGTGTTTTACTGTTTTTCACTTTCAATGATTGTAACAACTTATATGCTGTGACGTTAATAATGTGTTATAAATCATATGTAGTGATTTAAGTCTGCACAATAACCCTTCTGTAAGTTGTGTTTCCTCCCACTAACTTATTATGTTAAACATATCAATCCTTGGGCGATTTTCTATTCAATGTCAAAACGCAGAAAGGGTTGAGAATTATCAATCAGAGATTAGTAAAACATGACACATAAATTACATACCACTTTTTTGTTAGAAGCTGTCTCATTTAAGCTGTAGATGGTATGATGTGCATTGTTCTGTACAAAATTATGGAACCATTCATTGGCTCTAATGTGATGCTTTGACTTACTTTTTAATTGGTTATGAATTATGATCTCATTATTGTTCTTTTTTACTTTGAAATTTGGTGAAATTTAATGAATATTTTAATATATTATTTTAGTTGATTATAATATTATTCGTAATTTTTAAAATATAATTTTGCATTAAAACTGAGACTTGTGCCTCATTGCGCGATGAGGTTTACACAATGCACAATCCTTGCAAACTGCCATATAGCAATTCCGAACGTTGGTATCATCATAGCCGTATTTACTGAAAAGTGATGTGTAAAATGTTCATATCAAGAAGCTAAGAAAGGGCCATAAATATGGTCTCAATATGTTTTTTGTACTTTAACTTATTTATGCGATTGGGTCATCTGGAAACAGTCTCTCTGGGCTTTTAGTATAGGGGTAAAGCTGCTTACATCCGACCCCCTCTTACCCCACTGTAGGTGGGAGCCTTTGCGGCACTGGGGTAATGATGATGATGAACTTGTTTATGCGACTGAGACTTAATTTGAGTGGATATTATTAGCTTGTACTATGACTTATTTGTGGAATGCACCACTAAGCACCTTGGTTGTGGTATTTGACTAATGGGGTTGCACAGGTTATTATTAGTTATTTTTGTGCACTAAATAGATAATTTAAATTAATCCCAATGAGTGTATTACACATACTCCCCAAAATCTTTTGGTAATGAGGCTTGGATGTTGATGAGTGTATTACGCATACTACCCCCGACAGACGATGTCAAGCAATTGTATTTCCTGCATGCTTTGCATTCTTGCTTTAATACCTTTATATTGTTGAAGTATTGAACAAAATTCACAATCAAACATCTCTTTTAAATACGACTGTCTGTGCATGTGTTTAGTCTATTTATCTCATTTAGAAAATATGTTTGTAGTGTCTGGGTTGCAAGAAGGCCTCCTGGCTATGCTTTTATAGATTTTGATGACTCAAGAGATGCACTGGATGCAATTCGGGGAGTGGATGGTATGGCTTCTTGTTCCCAAAACAGACCTATTTGTAGTTAAGCTTTATAAACACAATTGTGTGTCCAGATTGTCAAATAAGATTAGAAAATTTTTAAAACTGTTTCTTCAAAGTACATCCATTTGTTCTTCCATTCTCTCTTATTTAAGAATCCAGGCAATTATCGGTAATAATTTTTTGAATGACATATCTGGTATAGGTAAGAATGGTTGGAGGGTTGAGCTTTCTCACAGTTCTAGAGATGGAGGTCGCGGAGTTTCTGGGCGTGGAGGAGGACGTGGTCGTTCTGGTGGTTCTGATTTGAAGTGCTATGAGTGCGGTGAAGCTGGTCATTTTGCCCGTGAGTGCCGTCTTCGTGGTGGAGGTGGAGGTGGAGGTGGAGTGAGGCGCCGTAGTCGCAGCCCACGTAGATACCGTAGGAGCCCGAGCTATGGTCGGAGGTGTGAACAAATAACAGCTATGCACATTATATTATATTCATGTACATATATGTGTGCAGATTCATACACACATATGTATACAAACACATGCATAACTTGTTATACATGTTTAATCAAAGACTTAGTAATTCTCACTTATATTAAAGCTATATTTTGATGCTTCATTGATTTTGCTGGGGTTGTATAAGCAGCCGTGACAGGAGTTACAGTCCTCGTGGTCGTTCTCCTCGCCGCCGTAGTTTGTCTCCTCCTCGTGGACGTAGCTATAGCCGATCTCCTTACCGTGGACGAGATGAAGTTCCCTATGCAAACGGGTGAAAATTCTACTGCATAATTTTCAACATAGTTGCTTTTGCTTGCTCATATGAGATTTATTATGCCTAGGAACTGTCTACTGTTAGATCTTGATTACTCCTCTGCCCAAAGAATATAATCTTGTTGTAGTAAGGTACAACTTTTTTATTTTTAGTTCTATTAATGAAGGTACAATCTTTTCCAAATTGTGAAGGGCCAGTTATACCCTGAAGACTTATTTCCAATATATTTGGTTTGATTGACTAACCTTCTTGCCGCTTGCCTTTCCAGGAATTTTGAATAAAAAGCAATGTTGACTTCTGAAGCTGACTCTTTTTATTGGACAAAAAACTTTCCTACTCTTTTTTGGGATGAAGTATTATTTTATCACTCTCTCTGTCCCCAATAATCCACAAACTTCTTTTTGATCCATTTAAAATCATCCCCAATTCCCGTTTAGGGAAATCATTATCTAGTTCATGTTATTTCTTTTTCTTCTAAACAAATTCCTCCCACACAGTTTTCATATTCCTAACCTCCGTGCCTGGTCAGATGTGGGGTTTTAGGTACTATGAGAGTATTATTTTTCCTGATCCATTTGAGGTTTTTAAAGACTTGCCCCTCTTTCCCTAAATATGTCATTTTTCAAAAACAATTTCTTAATTTAGTCAAAACCTAAAAATTAATATCGAAAAGGCCAAGTAGAATTCCTAGACTTAAGAATTCTACACCCAAGAATTTATAAGGGTGTAGCTTTGCATTGATGTTCAATGGGAATCTATACTAGATGCTCAAGAGGACATGCATGGATGTTCAATGAGAGTTTATATAAGATGGTTAATAAGAGGAAATATTTGTTGCTCACCGTCTTTATCATGCCTTCTTTTTTATGTGATTTTATCTTTTACAGTAATGGTGTGAGGGATCGTCACAGAAGCAGGAGCTGAGGGAGGATTTGAGAAAAGACACTTACCAAAACATCTGGAGTTGTGTTACTACTTTAGCTTGAACTACTACTAGCTCACAACTGTGTAAGTGGGGTCACTATTTTGCTTCTGTTGGTGGATTTGGTTCAACTTTCTTATCTTTTGATACCAAATGTGTATTTGGTGTCAGTAGTTCGTGTTCTCTTATGACATTTACATTTATATTTTTATTATTATTGGTAGATGGGATTGGAGCTATGGTAGGTACTGTTTCTTAGTGATATAATGTATTAAAAAAGACACTGCTAAAATGTTTTTTCTGTTTTTTGTGCCGAGGTTGTCTTCCTGGTACCTACTGCTTCATTCGTTCTACACTCTACTACTACTACTACTACTTCTACTACATGGTTTTGTTCTTCCTTGTCTGACCTGCTGCTGTGGGATCTTCAATTTTTGAATGATTGTGGACCCCAGCTGGCTACTTCGTGGCTACAAGCTCCTTCTAATTGTTTGAACCTCTGGGGGTTATGAAGCGCCTCACCTCAAATCTAGTGGTGTTTCCTTTTTAACATGTTATAATAATGATGACGAGGAGCAGCCCGCTTCAAACACTTCTGCTGGCAGGTATTTAATCTCTTCCGGAGATGTGTGGCTTTATTTGCATCCTAAATCCACCTTCAAATTCATACTCCAGTTAGCTGTGGATTTATGTTTCCGTTTAGTAAAAAAATCGATTAACACCCTTCCATTGGCTATTCAAACTGCATGTTTTCAATAGAGCGATTTCACAATATTTTATTCAAGTTTAAAATGTTTTTATTCTCCCTCAACCTAGCCATGTATTATGGTTTTCTTATAAATAAAACCAATGGCTTAATGGTTTCTGGCTCTGGCTGTTCCTTAAGATTCAAGGATCCAATTGTGAAAACGTTCAACACTTCACCTCAGTGGTTATACGACTTTTATGATTTTTTTTTCTCCGTTCTGATTTGTATGATTTTCTCTTCATCCTGCTGTAGTGTGGGTGAAGATTGGAAACTATACTATTAATTACAGCATATTTTTTCCGCGTCAGAGTACATGGACTTTTATAATCCCAAATGGTTAAATAATACCCCATTGAAGTATACGTATTCTTTTTCTGCACTTTTCAAATTGAATGATGTTTTAAATATTTGAATTTTCAACAATAGAATTAGGATGTAATAAATATACCCTATGTTCTACAATAGGTTTCGAACTTCCACAAATACTATATTTTTAAGCAATCAAGAGAGTAGTAAAATTGGCGTTTATAGCATGTTCATGAATGTGAAGAATTTTAATTTTAATTATGTGTATATTACTTGGGTTTCTTACAAGAATATTACTAAAATAAAACATATTTACATAAATATGACTATTCATTACTACAATGTGGTGTTGTGGTAACTTAAGCTCAAAAATTGAACATGAATTACTATGATTTCATTACTACTCTAGTCACTAGTCATATTTTTGTAAATCATCTTTATTTTGATCATATTTATGTAATTATTTCATATTTTACAAAAAATTATCTTGTGTTTTAATATTTTGAACAAAAAAAGTCGAAGCCCCTTTTCAAGTGAGATTGAGGTAGTGTATGCTCTAGACCTTAACTTTTATTTTCAACACATATCAATCTTATTCCACAAATACTATATTTTTAAGCAATCAAGAGAGTAGTAAAATTGCCGTTTATAGCATGTTCATAAATGTGAAGAATTTTAATTATAATTATATGTGTATATTACAAAAAATTATCTTGTGTTTTAATATTTTGACCAAAAAAAGTCGAAGCCCCTTTTCAAGTGGGATTGAGGTAGTGTATGCTCTAGACCTTAACTTTTATTTTCAACATATCAATCTTATGAGTCAGTTCTTTTAACTACACATAATAGGGGTTGACACTATTCAAGTGAAAATAGTACTCGTATCAAAATAATGAAGCTTGAAGTTATTTTTCTAGCCAAATTGGTTAAAGTTAGTGTATACTTTTCAAATAAGTTTTTCCTTAATTTTTTCTTTGTATCTCAGCCAATTTAAGCATTTCAACAAGAATTTCATGATTTTTGACAAACTCAACCAATTAAGTCAATTCCAATGTTACCAAATGGATTGTCAAATATTTGTATACTTAAAGAGTGAATGAAAAAAAACTTACTCAAATTTGGAACAAAAACAATGTATTTTTTGTAAATTGGAGTACAATATTTTTCAAAAAATGAGTAAAATAGTGTAATCAAATCATCCCTTATTTGCCCCATAAAATACTTCGTGGATGAGATTTGTTCGAGAAAAATATCTTTATTCACGTACTCCCTCGTCCCCAAAACAATTTCTCACTTTCCTTATTTAGGTATTCCAAAATAATATTTTCATTTCCATAAAAACAACTTTTCAATATCAAAAATCAAAATTACCTTAACATTTAGTTACATCATAAATGAGTTGATACTCCCTCTGTCCCTTAAAATTTTGTCAATTTTCCCTTTTTGATTGTCTTAATTTTGCCACATTCTCTTTTTAGTAAAGAGTTTGTGCTAATTAATTTTTTCTCCTCTACACAAATCTCAATCATACAGTTTTTACTTTATTAATCTGCATGTCTGTCAAACTTTGTCAAGTTTCAAGGGACTAAGGGAGTATAAAGTAGGGGTGTTTTGAGAAAGTCAACTTTCCATTTCAATTTACATAAAATGTTTGCAAGTCAAAGTGAGAAGTTGTTTTGAAGACGGAGGAAGTATTTATTAGGGAAAAGTATAGAAAATGTAAATGTGATTCGGCTTGTTTTTAGACAAAGACGTGTGGTTCATTTCTTATTAAAGTAGTCCTCATACTTTGATGCCGTTATCACTGAAGGGTGTGACACTTAATGTTGCTAGAAATCGCCCGTGGAAGATGAACAGTAACTCTGTGTTTCAAAATTACTCTGAAAATTTAAAGAAAAGTATAGAGAGGTGAGCCTCTATCATCTTCGTTCGGCGATTTCTATTGGCGTTAAGTGTAGGACCCCTTGTGATAACCGAATCAAATAATGGGGATTGCTTTGATAAGAATTGGAAACACAAGGTTCTATATATTTGAAAACGTTGTCAATTTACATGCATCTTTTCTATATTTTTTTGGGAAAACTATCAAATAATCCCCCGTATTATACCGAAAAAGTCGATTAGGCCCTCGTACTTTACAAACACTCAATTAAGTGCTCGAACTATTAAAAAACGTTCAATTAAGCCCTTTTGGTCGGTAAGTAACCGGTTTTCCGGTTAAACGGTGACGACGGCGACGATGTGCTCGAACCCCAGCAACGGCGGCTGCCGGGAAACGGGTTACATTTAACCGGGAAACCGGTTACTTACCGACCGAAAGGGCTTAATTGAACGTTTTTTAATAGTTCGAGGACTTAATTGAGTGTTTGTAAAGTACGAGGGCCTAACCGACTTTTTTGATATAGTACGGGGGCTTATTTGATAGTTTTCCCTATTTTTTTCTATTTGGTAAAGCTTTATGGGACGACTTAATACCGACAAAGCTTAATGGGACATACACAATATAGTAGGGTTTAATGCACCAAACCCTCTTGTGATATAGAAAGTCATTAACCCCTGTGATTTGAAAAAATGCGTCAAATCCCCTTGCGTTTTAATTAATCGTGCACAAAACCTTTTTTATGAATAAATTTAACGATTTCGAAATCACTTTTCCTAATATTTAGATTGCATGTGCAAGTAAATATGTCAAAAACTCTGAATCACACAAAAATGTTAATCATTTTTCTTTTATTTTACAATTGAATTTGTTCACAGAAGGGATTTGGCGCATAATTAATTAAAACAAGAGGGGATTTGACGCATTTTTTAAATCATAGGGGCTAATTTGTCGAATTCTCGAATTTCATACGGGGGGTTTGGTGCATTAAATCCCAATATAGCATGATGAATCATAAGTATGGTGGACACGGTCCAGCTACAGGCTGATTCTAGTCTTGGATGGGATGGTCATTGGTGAAAATATGGGGCTCAGGATTGGGACATGCATTTTTGGTTCGTGGTCCCAATTTTTTTTTTATTCTTTTCGTTTTATAATAATTGCCATATGGACTTTTCTCAATTAATGGTGATTAAATTTGATCAATGATATTTATTAGTACGAAATTATTTGAAATATGAAAATTATTTGAAAATATTCTTTGTTAAAATACTTTCATAAAAATATAGATTTTATAAATTTCACACAAATATGATAATTAAAAGCACACTTCAAAATTCACTATCATTGATTAAGAGTCAATTTGGTCAAGTTTTGTGGAACATGGAACATGGAAGTATATATTTAAACCCTCCATCATTCTCTCCACCCTTTCCCCACCCTTTCATCTCATATGTGTACCTCCGCCCGTTTTGAAATGCTTCCTAATAGTTTAAAGATGTTTTTACTTGGGTTGTTTTCAGTTTCAAACCATATCAGATTAGACTTGGATAGTTATAAAATGAATTGATATAAGACATTTACCAGATCAGGAAATTTTAGTTCCCAAAATATTTTGAGGTCGGATAACATGAATTGATGTATGATAACAATCCCAAAAAGAGAAGACAGACAAGAAGAAAAGAAAAAAAACGAAAAAAAGATAAAACGATTAAGATAAAGATAAATAAATATAAGATAACAATAACATAAGAATATGAGAAAGATAAAAGATAAAAAAGCATAAAAAGCTAGAAGATAAAAATAACATAAGAACATAAAAAGATAAAGAAGATCAAAAATTAAAAAAAGTGGAAAGATAAAAAAGAAATCAATCATCCACACGAATGTGCGTCCTCCACTTTGCCTTCTCTAAAGCCATACTCTCATTCAACCTAAGAAGACTCATATCAGTTATGGTTCCTCTATTCCAAGTCTTTGGGTCTTCCCCTCCCTCTCCTTTTTGTCTCTCCCCCCCATTCCTCAAGTCTTCTAACAGGTGCATCACTCGGTCTTCTACGCACATGCCCAAACCACCGCAAACGAGACTCCCGCATCTTATCTTCTATTGGTGCTACTCTCACCTTTTGTCTGATTATGTCATTTCTCAAACAGTCTTTTCTGATATGTCCATGCATCCAACACAACATAAGCATTTTTGCTCACTCATCTTTTGAATCTGACATTGTTTCACCGCCCAACATTCTACGTCATACACTCATACATTAATGTAGGCCTAATTGCTGTTCGATAAAATTTACCTTTTTGTCTAGTCGGCATACCTCGATCGCATAAAAATCCTGATGCACTCTTCCATTTCATCCACTCAGCTCTGATTCTATGGAATACATCTCCATCTAATTCACCATCCTTCTGAATTATGGAGCTCAAGTAACAAAACATATCTCACGCCGGTATGTTCTTACCATCAAGAGTAATCCCATTGTTACTACTACTTCTACCCTCGCCAAACTTGCACTCCATATATTCAGTCTTGCTTCGGCTGAGGAATGGGATCGATTGGTCCCAATCTCAAAAGTTGAGGCCTAGGTTAGTTCGGTTTTGATCTTGACGCGGAACTTTACTTTCCGGTCTGGGTTCTAATTGCTTCTATTTAGAGAAACACCAATGTTGTTCGGTCTCAACTCTCAAGTTTTTTAATTGGGTTGAAATTTTTGATTTTATTTGGTTTGTTCAAGTGTGGTTTGTTCCGATAGATGATTATTTTATGTGTATTTTAAAACTCTCGAAGTTAAGTCTGAGATTGAAATCACTCCAATTATAACTAAAAGTTTTAAAATTTAAAGCTCAGGACAAATTGGTAAGATTTCATTAAATAGTCCTAAATATTGAAATAAGCCTAAGTAGTACACTTGATGTATATAACTCGTAACTAACAAGATATCATGCGCGGCTCAAACAATAGAAAAGTATGAATATTTGATTAATCAAATACTGATAAATGTAACATTGAGTTGTTAAAGTTTTTTTAATGGAGTTCCAATCCTTTATTCGAATATAAAATCCGAGTTTCTCAAGTCACTCTCTGCTTGCTCAATGGTGAGGAAAGGGATACAACAAAAGTTTGAGACTGAAAGAAAACGCCCCATATTTTAAAGTTTCTTGACTTTGGCGTATTATAAGAGAAATTCAGAAAAGTAGTAGGGTGATGAAAAAAATAAGAGAGAATGCGTGAAAGTATGAAAGAGAAGATAAAATGCAGAAAATGTAAGCGTAATTGAATATTTGACAAAAAGAACTTATAAAAACGGGAAAATCTAATAATTTTCAAATATATTTCATAAAAGGATTGTGTAATAAACTTTAAAATAAGGAAGAAGTATTGGAATAAGGATTGTGTAATAAACTTTAGCATTGGGCCGTTCTCAAATGATGGTCAAGTTTGTTAGTCCAAATGCTCTTCCAATTCAGGCTAAAAAGACCTATCGGATGGATTTTTTTGGGATCCCTTCCCTCAGATTTTAATTTATGCAGTGTTTGGTTTAGGCTGGGTCAGGTATAGCCCCCTCAGCCAGTTTTTCTGTTTTCAATTGCCATGTTTTTTTTTATTGTTGAGAGGTTTTGGTCTGCTCCCCCTCTTGGTGTTCTCATAATAAAACATTGGTAAATGTCTCCCGGCATTTGCCCCACCATATGGGTGGTTTACCTTCCGGGGTTAAAAAAAAGAGGAAGAAGTATTGGATTGCCTCAGACCCGTGCATCACAGCCTCACGGGTACACGTCACTGCTTTCTTTATTTGGAAATTATGGAGTATGTTGTGGAGTTTCAATTGGAGGCTATCGAAAAGCAAAACATGTTGGTTGGTTGGGCATTGAAGACTTTCTCAAATAGAAGAGGCAACATTTATTACCAAAAGTGGATTCAGAAGTTTTCACCTGCATCCATGGGAATGATAGAAGTAGATTAATTGTCTAATTCGAATAGGGTGTTGCACTGATCTTTTTTTTTTCTAGATCAATTTATTTTAATGGAAGTAGATTAATCAAGTGATGTTCATTTATCGATGATAGCTTTAGTTTTCAATCCATTATGGCAACTCTAAATAATAATATTCAGCTTTTATGAAAAACAATACTCTTTCCGTTCCATTTTACATGTCTTACTTTCCTTTTTGGGTTGTCCCAAAATAAGTGTCACTTTTCCCTTTTTGGAAAGTAATATGTGTTTCACAACATATCACTTTACTATACTCAAATCTCAACCACAACTTTTACCTTTTCAACCACTTTATTAAAAATTGTGTCAAAACCAAAGGAGACACATAAAATGGGACTGATGAAGTAATAAATGTTGTGAAATGAAGAAGATGAAGACCAAGTTTTGAAGGATAGATATATTAATAAGCTCTAAATTATTTCTTCTTAATATAACTGAGATTTTCTAAATTTCTAAGTATCTTTTCAAGTGATTGATCAAGCCCTATTTATACTAGTTGGGCTTGGTGATGAATTATCAAGGAGTAATTCTACATATCTTGCTGGCATCATTAAAACTTGCCATCTATCTATCTATGATTACAAGGATGGTAAGAAGCTTAGTGTCCTAATTACAAGGATGATGACAAGGATAAACAATTCACACTTGTCATTTCCTGGGTTTTACAACACTCCCCCTTGAATGTTCATCCTTTAGAATAGCTATTTGTATTTAAAAATTTATTGTGAAGATTAGTGTGAAAATTAAGGGTTAAAAATTATGATTTATAATGTCATTGTATTTGGATGTACTGTCTCGTTAAAAACCTTATCAGGAAAAACCCAGTGGGATAAAAACCTGATGAAGGAAAAAAGAGTGCAGTGCATTCAAATACTCCCCCTGAATTTAGCATAAATCATGAAGGCGGCGCATGCCGATTTTCTGTACAAGTTCTATGAACTTCTTCGGGGGCAATGACTTGGTGAAGAGATCAGCCGGATTTTCACTGGATCTGATTTGTTGAATGTTGATCGTCCCTTCTTTCTCCAGATCATGAGTAGAGAAAAACTTTGGTGATATGTGTTTCGTTCTGTCTCCTTTGATGTAGCCTTCTTTAATCTGAGCTATGCACGCAGTGTTGTCTTCGTAGATCACAGTCGGGTGACAAGTAATAGGCTTCATACCACATTCATTTTGGATGTGTTGAATCATAGACCGCAGCCACACACATTCTCTTCCGGTTTCATATAATGCAATTAACACCGAATGATTTGATGATGTAGCTGTCAATGTCTGCTTCATAGATCTCTATGAGATTGCGGTGTTACCATAAGTAAATACATACCTAGTTTGTGATTTTGCCTTTTGAGGATCTGATAAGTATCCAGCGTCTGCATATCCGATTAAAGAGGCTTTTGCATCTTTGTGGTAGAATAGGCCGAGATCAACTGTACCACGGAGATAACGGAATATGTGCTTGATCCCGTTCCAATGGCGTCTTGTTGGACATGAGCTGTACGCCTGTACCTAGCTAATAAATTTACAGAAAATGCAATAGCTGGTCTAGTATTATTAGCTAAATATATTAAAGCTCCAACAGCACTCAGATATCGTACTTCAGGACCGAGTATTTCTTCGTCTTCTTCTCGTTGACGGAATGGATCATCGTGTATGTTGAGAGATCGAACCACCATTGGTGAAGTCAATGGATGAGATTTGTCCATATAGAATCTCTTCAAATCTTTCTCGGTGTAATTGGATTGGTGTATAAAAACTCCATTCTTCAAATGCTCAATTTGAAGCCCGAGACAAAATTTGGTTCTCCCGAGATCTTTCATTTCAAATTCTTTCATAAGATATTTTGCAGTACTTTCAATTTCACCGGGAGTTCCAATACTGTTGAGGTCATCAACATATACTGCAATTATGGCGAATCCTGAATTTGATTGCCGAATGAAAACACATGGACTAATTGGATCATTCTTATATCCTTCTTTGAGAAGGTATTCACTGAGACGATTATACCACATTCGTCCAGATTGTTTTAATCCATACAATGACTTTTGTAATTTAATGGAAAACATGTCTCGAGGTTTCGAGCTATAAGCTTCACGCATTTTGAATCCACCGGGAATTTTCATATAAATGTCTGTATCGAGTGAACCGTATAAATATGTAGTCACTACATCCATTAGGCGCATTTGCAGCCTTTCAAAAACAGATATGCCAATGAGAAACCTTAATGTAGTTGCATCAACTACTGGAGAATAGGTTTCTTCATAATCAATTCCCGGCATTTGAGAAAAACCTTGGGCAACAAGTCGGGCTTTATATCTAACAATTTCATTCTTTCATTGCGTTTACGCACAAATACCCATTTAAAACCCACAGGTTTTACGCCTTTTGGCGTAGGGACTATCGGTCCAAAAACATCACGTTTTTCAAGTGATTTTAATTTAGCCTGAATAGCTTCATTCCATTTTGGCCAATCGTGTCATTTCCGACATTCTTCAATTGATGTTGACTCATTGTCATTGTTTTCATTCATAACATTTGTGACAACGACATAGACAAATATCTCATTAATATCAATATCTTTTCGATTCCATTGCACTCCAGTAGAAACATAATTTATTGAATTTCATAATTATTACTGTTTCTATCATTATCTCGAATATCTTCCTCATTTAAGGAAGTTGGATCATCATTTGAGATGTTTGTTTTGTCAATATCATTTTCTATGCTAGTATTTTCAAATTGTTCATTTTCTTGTTCAGAAGGATGAACATCTTTGACATCACAGATCAATTCCTGCCTTTTAGTTCTTCTTGGTTTTATGTCTTTCGATCCAAGTGGCCTGCCACGCTTTTTGCGTTTAGAAGAATCATTTGCAAGAGAATTTTCAAAATTCTCTGCTAGAATTTCGATTCTGGCAGGGGCATTCATAACAAGAATATGTGACTTTGTCACTTTCTTTGTATCTGTGAATGCATCGGGCAACTGATTTGCAGTATTTTGTAAATGGATTATCTTTTGCACCTCTTGCTCACATATATTTGATCTAGAATCAATGTGTGATAATCCTGTTGCATTCCATGTTATTTCTTTCGTACTTGGGTCTGATTTATTAGTTTCTCCCCCTAAGGTTGGGAATACTTTCTCATTGAAATGACAGTCAGCGAACCGTGCGGTGAATAAGTCACCAGTCATCGGTTCAAGATATTTTATTATTGAGGGATATTCAAATCCAACATAAATTCCCAACCTTCTTTGAGGACCCAATTTTGTACGATGAGGTGGAACAATCGGAACATAAACAGCACAACCAAATATCTTTATGTGTGCTAAGTTTGGCTCTTGTCCAGTAACTAATTGCATTGGGGAATATTCATGATACGCAGTCGGTCTAAGCTGAATTTAATTTGCTGCATGCAAAATAGCATGTCCCCAAGCTGATGAAGGTAAATTACAATTCATTAATAATGGTCTAGCGATTAATTGTAATCGTTTAATCAAAGATTCAGCAAGACCATTTTGTGTATGGACATGAGCAACATGGTGCCCACATCAATCCCAATCGACATACAATAGTCGTTAAATGATTGAGAAGTAAATTCTCCTGCATTATCAAGTCGGATTCTCTTTATAGAATGATCCGGAAAATGAGCTCTTAAATCGTATAATTTGAGCGAGGAGTTTAGCAAATGCTAAATTTCTAGTCGATAAAAGACTAACATGTGACCAACGTGTTGAAGCATCAATCGACACCGTAAAATATCGAAATAGTCCACATGGTGGGGCTATCGGCCCACAAATATCTCCTTGAATCCTTTCTAAAAATGCAGGTGATTCAGTTGCAATTTTGTTCATAGAGGACCTGATGATCATTTTGCCAAGAGAACAGGCCTTACAAGGAAAATCCCTTGATATTGGAACCCTTATATTCTTTAATGGGTGTCCAAGTGAAGTCTTAATGATTTTATGCATCATTACATGGCCTGGGTGACCTAAACGGTCATGCCACAACATGAATGTTTTCTGATCATTTAACTTTGCGTTAGAAACCAAATTTATTTCGAATGGACTAATATGAGTGAAATATAGTCCTGAGGAATATGCTGACATTTTTTCACAAATACATTTAGTGCCAGATTTAGTTGTCGTTAGACAAAGATATTCCTTTTGGTTTTCATTCATGGTTTCTATGTGATAACCATTTTGACACATATCTTTAAAGCTTAATAAATTTCTCCGCGATTTGTTGGAGTATAAAGCGTCATTTTTAAGTAATTTTGTCCCATTAGGGAGCATCACATATGCTTTCCCTGAGCCTTCAATGAGCTTCGCAACACCTGATATTGTATTGACTTTAGCCTCAACTAAAGTCATTTGAGAAAAATATAGGGAAAACTGTCATATAGGTCCTCGAACTTTCATAAAAATGTCAATTAAGTCCTTCTATAGGAGACTCTGTCTGGCCGTCGCGATTTGGGGCGGTTCCCGGTGGAATTTTTTGATGAATTTTTTTGAGTATCTTATTCATCAAGTCAAGTTTACCGATTCCAAATTTCAGCTAAAAATTCAATTGGGAACGTATTCAAATTAATTCGAGAACGCAAAAATGCGAAGTTATCTTCACGAATTACTTTGAATGTGTTCCCGATTGAATTTTTAGCTGACATTTGGTATGAGTAAACTAGACCTGATGAATAAGATGCTCAAAAAAATTCATCAAAAAATTCCACCGGGAACCACCCCAAATCGCGACGGCCGGACAGAACCTCCTATAGAAGGACTTAATTGACCTTTTTATGAAAGTTCGAGGACCTATTTGACAGTTTTCCCAAAAATATATTTTATTTCTCAAAATGGTGTGCGTTGTGGCGCTGTCTATCAGACATAGCTCTTTATCACTTGAGTGATCCATATCTTCAATATATGTAAATAAATATAAGCTTGACCACAAATTATGCATATTATTTAACATAAGAGTACATATATTACATATATTACATATATTACATATTTAAAAACATAATAAAGGGGAAGAAGGAAAAAGTACATAAAACTAATACTACCTCCGGTTTTTTTTAATCTTCACAGTTTGACTTCACACAAAATAAGGAAAGAAATTTGACTTTACTGTAGAGTACACTGTTGAGGCACTG